CCTGACCAAGATCATCATCGGGCTCATCTTTTGCCTCTACCTCTTCTTCAGTAGCTACCTCTTCTTCAACTTCCCCCATTGTAGTATCATCAAAGGCACTGTATTCAGCAAAACTATGAATAATCATGTTGTCATCATCCCCTTCTACTTCTTCATCTTCTTCCATTATAACACCTCTTTCTCCGTGCTTAGTCCAACAAATATAGTTTGGCATGAAACCCGACGTAAGCAAGTGTTCATGAATTTTCCTTGAGCAAGAATAATCCTTCTCATTCTTACATAGAACACATGGGTAGCACATGAAACCATTCCATGTGTTTGCCTTGGCCACATTTAAGAAATCATGCACGCTCCTCATGAACTCTGGGGAGCGACGGTCAGCATTGTACATCCATTGTCAGTTCATCTAGATCACATGACATACACCATATCAAAAACTTGTAATAACCCATATTATATAACATGCATGGTTAGTAGTTAATTAAAAGATCCAAAATATCCATCAATCAACATGATTAATTAATATCCTATACCACACATCTGTTTCATGTACTCTCGAACATTAATTTATTAAAGCCTTGATACAATGTAGACAATACCAAATAGCACTAAACAAACTAAACCTACAATGCACTTCAGCAGAATACGGATTTCGCGACCAGTCCCAACTAAAACATACGGATCATTCTTCTACTGGTTCACTGCCTCATCATACACAGGTGCACTTTCATCAGCCGCCAAAGTCTCCTTTGCAAGAGATTTTTGGACGTGCTCAACATACTCTTCCTTCCAGTACCAACCGTCATATGATCCAGTGCCATCCCACTAAAATTACAATAACAAATCAAGAACTTTAATCAAAATCATCATGAAAAATGGCTACAAACCATAGCAAAACATGACAAAAAATTACTCACTTCACGATCCGGACACGTGTAGAAGATGCGCCCTTGGTTGGGACCCTTCTTCTTCACCCTATACTCCCTCACAATCTTTTGCCCACACTGGCCGCACGTAATGAGAGGGAGGTCTAGCCTCAGTCGCTTAGGGACCCCATGCGAGGCCGAGGACCCGAAAGTAGTCGCCATCTACGACTCTCTATACTCATTTTCATTAACTACTATAAGTTTCTCATTTTGTGAACCATGAAATTAAATGAGCTATATACTAAAAAAAACCTTTTATTTCTCAATTTCTAAACCATGCATGAAATGAGGCAATGAAAGGTGCATACTAGTTTTGATGAGCTACTATAAGATTCCTTCATCTACATATGCAAACTATCAAGTGATTTTGAGCTCAAATGGCATATAAATAAAAAATATCCACCATTATTCCCAATCTAGAAAACCAAAAATTTCTCTATTTCTAGACCATGAAATGAGGCAATGAAAGGTGCATACTAGTTTTGATGAACTACTATAAGCTTTCTTCATCTTCATATTCAAACTATCAAGTGATTTCGAGCTCAAATGGTATATAAATAAAAAAATTCACCATCATTTCCAATCAAAAAACCACAAATTTCTCTATTTCTAGACCAAGAAATGAGCCATGCTAGTGATGAAACATGGGAGGATGAAGTTGTTAACCTTTAGAACCGAAGAATGGATGGTGGAATGAAGTCTTCACCAATCCCGCAAGCATGAACTCCTTCCACGAACTAGAACAGAGAGCAAGCAGAGAGTTTGAAATGGCTCGGACTAGGGGAGAAAGAAGGAGAAAGTATATAGCCCGGGACATATAGTCCCAGTTTGTGGTATAAACACCCGGACTACAGGTAGAGTTCTAGTCCCGATTAGAGCCACCAACAGGGATTAAAGGTTTAGTCACAACTGGTAGCTCCAACCAGAACTAGAGGGTGACATTTAGTCCCGGTTTGAACCACAAACTGGGACTAAAGGTCCCCTCCTGCAAAAACTACACCTCTAGCCGTTGGGCAGGGGACTTCTGTCACGGTTGGTTGCTCCAACCGGGACTAATCATGTCTTTAGTCCTGGGCCCAAAAATGGCTGGGACTAATGCCTAGAACCGAAAGTCTGTTCTCTACTAGTGAGTATATGTATGTGACACTGTTATTTGCTTTAACTAGTTGCTACATAAGTCTTCCCTTATTGGTATGGTGGAAATAAATATGTGCTAGATTTGAATTATTCTTACTACTGTGATCACTATGATATATTATTGATATGTACCCGACGGATACCTAATACCCGACGGGTGCTGGACCACCTAGTTTTCTTAAGAAAACCAAGCACTCGCTATATGTGTGCCTAGGAAGTCCAAACATACAACAAAAATAGAGATTATAAAAAACAATGTTATATAGCGAAAACAATCTTATATTAACACTTACATCCAATCAGAGTATAGCAGATTGGTTGCTAATCTTTTCTTTAGGCTCCAACTTCATAGGGACTGCTGACTGGGGTAACATATGCCTAGCACTCTGGGTACTTCTTAAAGAACTCACTAAAATCCAACATTTGGTACCCATCTGGGACTTTGCCAAACTATTGAAAGTAAAGCAAGCATAAGCACATGAAGTACTCAACAAATATAGCATGGGGCATATGAGGGCTCAAAAGGCTGAGACGGTTGAACTGCGTTAAGCACTTCTAGTAGGTCAATTTTTATCATTAAAATCTAAGTTGCTAAGTTATGCTTAAGCTCCAATTCCCACATGGTAATAAATAATGGCAATATGAAATGAATATGCATAAATAACATCATATAACCACATTAAACATCTATTCATAAAGACACTCTGCAGAGGTTGTACAACTTTACCATGAGTCATGATTCCCATATGCCCAAGGGGATCAACCACTTGACTCACTTGCAAGGTAAGCTCCAAATCACATCCATCATTTCTCGAAAGACATAATATATAACAAGATCAAATTCATAGTAAATATGAAATATAAAGGGATACAATGGCTATACCAATTCTCCAAAGACAGATCCGAAATCTTGAGTAATAGTCCAACTCTACTTAATCTCACTTGACTACCTTATACTTTAACAATCTAATTCCTAAGAGCTTCTTCTCTTCTCTAGATCAATTTCTCTCTTGGATAGAATGATGATGGAATGATGCCTTTCTGGAGGGGTCTTGGGGTCCTTTTATAGGGGCACCCGCACCCTGTGGGCCCATGAATCCATGGCAATGATCCATCTCGTCCCTCGATACGAACCGACCTTCAATCACTGTGGAGATTGATCCTCAAAGGCGGTGGAGAATCCACGTCGAAGGGGAGACTGATAGGCCAGGCCCACAGGTCAACTGACCAGCGGGTGGGGTCGGCCGACCCCACCTCTCCTCCATCTCTGTTGATCTTTGGTGGTTTGTCTTTGCCGGTGGATTAGAGGTCCTTGGAGTCGGTTTCGTCACGGATAGTTTTGTATTACTGACATATATAGCATGGCCCACATATCTATTTTCTGGATAAAATAACATGCATACAAATATTCACCAAAACTTGTGGTATTCATTAGTTTGAAACCTCTAACCTATGTTTTGTGATTAATTTTAAGAATAAGTGCAGGTGAAATTGACGGTTTATTCTTGCAGTTAAGACTGTCAACAGGGGACAATGGTGTGTAATTTAATTTGTAAAACTACCTTGGGCATGACACTGACGCTTGCTCTAAAATCACGCTATGCATGATCGAATTCTTGTGTCCCAAATGAGAATGAAATTGTGGGGATTCCCGGATCCTTCTTTTCTGGCACTTGAGTAAGTATAGCTTCTGTTAATTTTACCACATCCATGCTTTGCATCGGTCTCTTTTTGTTCAGGATGTCCTTGAGGTATCTGGCATAAGTTGGTACCTGCATAGTATCAAGTAACGGTATATGCACATAAAACTTTTGAATTACCTCAATGAACTTTTTGAATTATTGCTCATCCACAGATGGCTTGTGGTTACGAGTGGGGAATGGCAACACCCCCGTGTCAGTAGAATCCGCGTGGTGTTGTCTTCATTGTGTCTCTTGAAATTGTTTGTCTCCTCTGCTTCATCATTGCTTATCGCCTTCTTCTTTCCTATTGGGTTAGGACGTGGTGGATCACGAGTGCCGCTTTGCAGGAAGCAGTCCACCTTCTCAACTTTTGGGCAAACCTTTTTGCTGGCAGCGGTGGTTATGCTGCTAGTATTTAGAGTACATCTCTAGCTTCTGTCCAGCTAGCTAGTTCTGTTGCAAGAACCAGTGGCCTCTGCATCAGCTGGCCAAATTCTTCAACGACTATGTCAAAAATTCCTCCAGTTCATAATTTAACTGTGAAATGAACATTCTCCTAATTTGTTCTGATGTTAGGCATTTGGTTTATCTGGGGTTAACCTTGCAAACGAATAGTCGTATCAATGTACACTGCGAAACTAATAAGATTGGATCATTTGAGTCCCTAAGAACAAATTTTTTCTTCCTCCACAATAAATGATAATGAGTCCTTTTTGGGCCCGTTCGGCTGGTGCAAAAAGCGCACTGTTCACAGCTGAAAATTACTGTTTACGGCTGATTTTCTCTCACAAATTTCTCCAGATTCTTTCAAATTCTCCAAATTTTTCTAAATTTCTCCCAGCGAACGGAGCCTTTATGTGAGTTCCCTATTGAACAGTTTTGAGTTATTTTTTATTTGATGCACATCTCACAATTTTGTATGGGGTCATCAGGGTGTCGGCGTGTCGTGCATGATAATTGTGAGTATAGATTTTTTTTTTCGAAAATGAATGTATTCCAAAATTGTATGTCGTGTGTTCTCCTGACAAAATTTAGAATATCTGAATGTATCCTTGCAACATATAGTCCACGAGATTGTTGATTACTAATCAATCCATAATAATCAGAAAAAATGTACAGAAAATACAAATAATTAAAGAATTCCCACTCAATTGGGAGGCTGTTCGACATTTCCATTACATGAACTAAAAAAAGGCGTACAACAGATCGTTAAGATGAGGTCAAACTGTAAAAAACGTCACGTCACTTAGGGTCATTAATGAACAGCCAAGGCAGCCATGACCCAGAATGCAATCCCGGCCAAGAAAATGGACATATGCGCGGAGAAGGAAGCATGGTTGGCAGCTTTGAGCACATACGAGGGTGGTTCAGCCTCGTGCGTGAGGAGCCTCCATAAGAGGCCCAGGTGAACGGTTGCTGCACTAAACAACACAAAAAATATGGACGGGACGCACACAGCAGCACTGGTCACGCTGGGTACTGCCACGGCCAAGAAGCCCGTAAATGCCACCTTGGTCAATTCCAACGAGGCCGGCTTAGGCTTATTTTCATCTGATGATGAATCGGATGATGTGCTGCTGCCTGTTGCTGATCCCTGTTGCCCTGCTGATGAACTGGATGATGTACTGCCTGCTGCTGGTCCTTGTTGCCCTGCTGCTGCTGGCCCCTGCCGCTTCATCACGTCCCTGTGGTAACGCGCTAGCAACACCAGAAGCACTATGACAGGAGGGAAGAGCGGCAGGAACACCGCCAATTTCCATGGGTGTGGAAGCACATCCAACGTGATCAAGACCACCACGGCCGTGATCGGCAGAGCCTGCATGACGAAATTCAGGCCCCTCATAAACTCGGCGGTCAAGACAACGCAGCCGCTGATGACATGGGGGGTCGTCCACACGTTCATGAGGGAGACGCCCAGCGCGCTGGCCACGAAACTGATGAGCAAGGCGGCACCAAGGAACGTCTCCTGCCCTTTGACTGGGCCAGGAGCCTGCCCCTGACGAGTGTTTCTCAGCAGGCCTTCCAGTGCCACGAATTCTAGCACCAGGAACATCATGACGGTTTTTCCGGCCGACAGCTCAAGCAGGTGCTCCAGCTTACTGTGGTACTCCGCCTCCGCGTCGCCTTGGGTGGCATCGTCCCCGGCATCATCGACGACGCAGCAGCAGATGTACCAGATGTGCACGGCAACGACACCGACCGCCATGACGGAGCAGAACGTGAGTACTAGCAGGGCGTTCTTGTGGAAGAGAAGTAGGATCCCGCAGCCCAGGGCCATGAGCAAGAAGTTGGAGAGGAACACCAGCACCTTGGACGCAGCGACCAGCCTTGGGGCGACGTAACTGAGGGGCGGCCAGCTGGCGCATGCTTCTGAGATCATCACGCACAGGAAGGGCATTATGCCCATCTGTAGAGTGACGGCTGCGAGGTGGGCGAACCTTCGTTGAAGGAGATCGATGAATGCTCCCAGCGCTCGTATCCTCCCCTGGTACTTCCCGGCGCCAGTTAAGTTGACTTTCTTGAGCACGATGGCAAGGAGCACAGGGGAAATCATGACCACGAAAGCTCCGGTGAAAGCTCGGACACGATTCTTCAGTTTTTCCTGTACACGATGATAGATGGTCAATGTATGATCAAATAATTGCGAAACTATTGTAACTACATGTTAATTCTATGTCAAAATCTATACCCCGGAAATTAAAAACCCGTGTTCCTATTATGAATTTCAGCGAAAATGATTAAAATGTGTTAGAGATAAGTCAGTATGATTGTCCGCTACTTTATATACATTGTGTGACTAGATATATATAATATGTGTGTGGACACCACGTCAAAACAAAAGGTCCCAAAATTTGAAGCTTGCATTCACACATTAAAATTTTAGCAAAACTGATTAAAATTCGATGGAGATTATTCAGTATGATTCCCCGCTACTCTGTACAAATTGGTGTAACTATGTATATAAGTCGGCCCCATGTTGAAATACCCTAAAATTACAAACCTCGTGTTCACCCTTAAAATTTTAGCAAAATCAAATGAATTTTTTAGATGATTTAATATGATTGTCCACTACTTTGTACAAGCTAGTGTTACTAAATATATATACATGGGTCCCATGTTAGGGTCAGGCCTTAAAATTATATATAGATCTCATGTCACACTTTAAATTTTTGACAAAAATAACTAGAATTTATTTCAGATGAGTGAGTATGATTGCTCGCTACTTTGTGCATATCGGTGTGCTAGATATATACTTGGGTCCCACGTCATAAACTTAAAACTTTATATTAAAGTGTACCTCTCAAGTAGTTAGGTTCAATTGACTTTTTGAGTTATGTCCAATGTATTTCAAATTTTGTTGGATTAAATGATTATATGGACATTCAAATCCAAATAGATCCTATCCAAATGCATCCAATGCAAAGAGTACAAACAAATCCACCACCACCTTTGATCACTCATATGTTGTACTAGTAGTTATTTCTTTTTTGAGAGGAAAGTGCTCACTATTTCATCTTGCAATAATGCTTGTCGCTGCGTCTTCTTCTCAGTGCTTTTCTTTGCATTTGTATCTTGTGAACCCCCATTGATCTCCAATGTTACATGTTTTGCATCAGATTGACGAGTCATAGTATTTCCTCTTTATTTCTTACTCCCGCGCAACTGCATAATCAAAAATAAACTATTCGTAATATGTTATGAATATATATGTCATGGATGCATAAACAAAAATAAACCACACATATTAAGAGCTTGTCTGTATAAATTCAGCCTGTTCGTTTGTTGGTTTCAGCCATGGTTCACAACAAACTAGCATCAGCCGAACTTATCAGCTCAAAAACCAACCAGCGAACAGGCAGACTGGGTCCTTCCTAAGTCTTATTACATGAGCATCTGAGAGTAAGCATCGTTTTAGTCTAAAAAAAATATCAATTGATGAAGACACGAAATGGGCCAGGACCATTTTCAATACCAAAAGAAGTTTAGATTCGCTCGTTATTAACCTCTCAACATATGTTAAATTTAATTCAAATAAGTTGAGAAAAGGAGGGGCGGGGGTGATATTTGTGCTTATAGAGATGTTTTGGAAATAAATATAAAACCATATCGGATATTCAGGGATGGAAGAGGCTTACGGAGTGATGAATCCTGATGATGCGACACAACGAGCTTGTTTGTAGGTAGAAACAGAATCAACACGAAGAAGGTCGTCGAAGCTGTTGCCGCCCGGCGCGAGGTGTGTAGCTAGGTACAAGGCTCGAAGCACGACAGCATTGGGAATTTGGGATGACGGCAATCCTCTCTATTTCTCTCTCTCTGCGACAGAGAGAAGCTTGTGATCAGTCTCAGCTCGTGTCGTCAGCTTTAAGAAGAAGAGGGTGCGGGGGAGAAGAGAAGCTTCGTTGGACGAGCGAGCTTCGATCCAGTGCCCCTAGGACTAAGAGCAGACCATCTAAGGGCGGAGCGAACGACGAATCAAGAAGAAAAGGCACGCCCGACTGCTTGGTTCAGATTCAATCACGCGCAGACGGAAAATCACTCGGAAAGACGACCTTAAGCTCAAGTCAATGGGGCCAAGCCGCGGACTGGCTACTGGGAGAGCGAAAAAAAAAATCAAAACGCGCTACGCACGCGTGGTGTACGTCCACAGGCTCAGAGCACACCTAACCAACGATAGATTACATGGAACATAAGCGGAGCTATGTAATATACGGTACAGGAACGCCATATATTCATCAAGTGCTAAAATATGGCACTCGCGCGCGCAACGCATGTTAGGGGCCGGCCGGTGTTATAGTTGGCCAACCGGGCCGCCGGGCCCGGCATGGGCCCGGGCCCGGTCAGGCACGGCACTAAGCGGCACGGTGGCCCGCTGTGCCGTGCCTGACGTGCCACCGTGCTGAGACAGCAGCCCAGGCACGGCCCTATCAGGGCTGAAGCGTGCTGTGTCGTGCCAGCCCAGGCACTATTAACATTTTCTGTTACAAGCAATTTGGCAGCATCATATTTAACTTCACAAGCACATTTTCAAATCAACAACTCCAGAAATTGAATTGGAGAAGCAAAATCATATCAAACACACAGAGAGTTCTGCGCCAGCTCGAGCTCCACGGCCGAAGAGCTCTTCTAGGTCGTCTTCGCCCATGTCGTCGTCTTCGTCATCACCAGGGAGGCTCCGCAGCCTCTCATCTTCGTCTTCATCTTCCATGGCTGTGGCACTAGCCTCCACCGTGTCTTCAGAGACAGCGGGGGGCCAGGCCACGGCCAGCATTCTCACTGGCGCTGGCCTAAAACGGCTGCCAAAACACAAAAGAGAAGAAGAAGTTAGATCGGGAACGGAGAAGAAGAAGAAGTGAGACCAGATCTAGGGTTAGGGCTTCTTACCTCCCAGTCGCTGGCGACGTAGAAGGAGCTCCGACTCCTCCGAGCAGCAGCGGATCAGCGGATCTGTAGAACAAAACACACAAGTTAGAGAAGAACTAAAGACGAAGAAGCAAGATGAACGGGGAGCTGCGGGATGGCGAGAAGTAGAGGTGGGTATCCTACCTGGATCTTCGTAGCTCCGGCTCAGGAGCCGCCGGAGGGCGAGACGTAGAGGAGGGGACGACGGCGAGCCGCCGTCGCCCTCGCCCCTGGGAGTCGCCGTTCGCCACGGCTGACGGAGCGCAAGCGAGGAGACCGGCGAGGGGGAGGGGGAAATGAAGTAGGGTTTCGGTCTTTCGCCTTTCGGGTGGGAGAGGGGAGTGAGGCCGGCGCGGCTTATATACACCGTGTTCCAACGGTCGGATTCAACGGTTAGAATCATTTAGGGTTCCTGATCCAACGGCTGGCGTTCATCAGGCCGTGCCGATGCCGGGCCAGGCCGCTTTTCCGTGCCGTGCCCGTGCTGGCCCATGGGCTGAACTCAAGGCCCAGGCACGGGCACGGGTGCAGGCCGTGCCAGGCACGGGAACGGGGCCGTGCTTGGGCCATGCTTTATTGGGCCGTGCCCGTGTCAGCCCAGCGGGCCTGGCCCATCTGGAAAACTTTAGCCGGTGTCCTGATCTCGGAATGGACAGAGGAAGAAAACGCTGATGCGGGGTCGTCCTCTCCAGTCTCGTCTCTCCTCTACGGCTCCAACCCCCGGCCGGCCGGGCCCCCGGCGGCCCGGCAGAAGACGACGACGACTTGACCCAGCGTATGCTATGCAATAGCAATAGCCTGACAGGCGACAGCTGACCAACTCACGAGGACCGATGGAGTAGTGCCAGCAAGTCGCACACACGACATCGTCCTCTCTACACCGCGTCCGCGGCTCTCAGTCTCTCACCCCCGGCCGCGTGAGGCTACCACGTCCACCAGCCTACCATTAATTATCACCGCGTAGGTATTAATTAAGGTCCTCTCCCCTTGTTTCTATCTCCGTCACTTATTGATTTATACTGTCGCCTCAAGCTGTGTCCGCCCGTCTTCCCCGGTTCTTCCTCCTCTGCCAAGTTCAGTTCCGTTCCAATTCCAACCGCGCGCATTCAATCAGCAAGTCTGAGCTCGCGGCACTGTTGGTGTTGGCCAACAACACCGCCTGCCTGTATCTATTACTAACTCCTCAGTGCCGGCCCTTTCGAGTTTCGACGGATCTCGGGTCGGCCGGGGCCTTTGTTCCCCAACTATACTACACGGGCATTGTCGCCGCCGTCCGTGATTCTTCAGAACTCCGGTGAGCCACCGTACCCAACCCAACGTCCCAGCTCCCAATCATATCCAGGCCTGCCGGGACCTACACCTAACCAGCTTGCACTTCTTTGCAGCAGCAAGCCCCACCGCCGCGCCACGGAGCTACTAGCTCTGGAAACTCCGACACCCTTCTGCAGCTAGCAATTCGATCTGGTGCCGCGTACTGCCTCGCCACCTCCCTGAACCACCCGGTGAGCTTCTCTGCAGCCCACAATGCCCTCCCTTCATAACCATGCCCTCCCTTCATAAATCATAACCATGCTACGGTGGTGGATTCAACAAAAATATATAGGAGGCTGAAGAAAAAGCTCTAGACCAACATAAGAGTAAGTTCATTATGTCCAACAAAAGACTGATATATGGTACAGTAGTTTAAAGCAGTTTTAATATTTAATGGAAACATACAACAATTTGAGAGGAGAATGTTATTTTTTTTTTAGTTTTCAACATTTTAAGTTCATCACAAATGATAATCTCAATTGGAAATTTCAGTGCCACTCGAGCTAACATGAACTAGATTTCGCAAAAAAAAATTGCATGAAAACACTCTCATGTATGGACATATATGGACTAAGATACAAAAAGTTTAGTTAAAATTTTTCAGCAACCCAGTCACTAATTTCCACATAGCTGATGAAATCGATAGCTTTTATTTTAGACTCAAACTGCAAGCACATATTAACTAAGACATCTCTCAAATCTACACAATCAAATAAGGCACAAGCAACAAGCAGATGTAGGGATATATGGAACTTCTGGTCAGTTTGTGCCAGGAGCCGGGTTCTCAATGTTTGTGTTCTTCACTGTTGAAGTGTTGTATTATACCGGGTATAGTCTCAGGTAGTTAGCATTAGCTTTGACCGTGAGGTGGCCATGACGTCGCCCACGCTCCTCCCGTGCGCACAGCGCCGGTTCCTATAACCTGTATATGTATACTCCAGAGAGCAACACGATAACTTGTTGGCTCAATCTCTCTTCGTAGTATCAGTAAGCGCAGGTTAATCCTTCCCCTGCTGTTCTTCGTCCTCCACCTCCGCGGCTGCCAACCGCTGCTCCCGATCTCCATTGCTCCGCCGTCGATCGATCTGCGGCCATGGCGGACCTGGAAGACAACCCCCTCTTCGGTGTTCACCTGTCCAGTCTTCACGCCGATTCCTCTGATGCGTCCTCCGTCAAGGACGATGCTCCTCACGTCGCTCCTCCATCCACTGCCGTCCTCCAAACAGTAAACACCAAATCCCATGTTCCTGTTGTTCTTGATCTTGTCGAGCCGAATTACGATGAATGGCGTTGTTTCTTTGATGCATTCATCGGGAAATTTGGTCTTGAATCCCACCTCTCCTCCCCACCCACTCCGGCGCAACGCCGTGATCCGGACTGGCGCCTCCATGACCAGTGCATCTTGAGCTGGCTTTACAATTCTGTTTCCAAGGACGTGCTTGCCATCGTGCGCGTTCCACAACCCACCGCACACCTCATCTGGACCGGCATCCATTCCTAGTTCCGTGACAATGAACTCCATCGCGCCGTGTACCTTGAAGCTGAGTTTCGCAATCTTGTCCAAGGCGACATGGACATTACTCAGTACACCGGCCGCCTGAAACACCTTGCCGACGCCCTCCGTGATGTTGGCCAGCCCGTGCGCGACACAAGCCAAGTCCTCAATATGCTGCGTAGCCTGAGCTGGAAGTATCGCCACGCCATCCCGGCGATCACGGCGAAGCAGCCCCCCCATACGTTCCTCTCGGTGCGTTCTTATCTGCTCCTTGAGGAACACTATGACAAGGAACAAACAAAGACTGCTGCACATCAGGCTCTTGTCGCCACCGGCGGTCGTTCATCTGCTCCTCCAGAGATTCCGGCCGAGGGCGGTTCCAGCTCTGCCACCGCCCAGCCTCCTGCGCGTCCTTCAATGGCGAGCCACGGTGCGCCCCCGCACCACCACAACAAAAAGGGTCGTGGGCGTGGCCGTGTTCGTGGCGGTTTCCAGCACCCCCATAGCTCCAGCTCGTCCGCGCCGCGTCCCTCCACAGCCTGGACACCGGGCGTCAATCCATGGACTGGGATGGTCCAAGCCTGGCCAATGCCATTCCGAGTGCCAGGCGCCGGCGTGCTTGGTTCCCGTCCTGGTGCTCCACCCCAGCAGGCGTACTTCGCAGGAGCGCCTGTTCCTCCCCCACCAGGCACGTTCCAGCCAACGTCTTCACCCGGCGACGTTTGGAACCATTAGGCCCTTCTCGCCACGCTTGCTACATCCGGCGTTCCACCCGGCGGCCCCAGCCCCCTGAGTGGTTCTTGGACATTGGTGCGACATCGCACATGGCATCCAATCCTGGTAACTTCCACTAGTGCAGGACTGGGTTGCAATCCCGGTTGGGAAACCCCTTTTAGTCCCGGTTGCTCAACCGGGATTGCGAATCCGGGACTAAAGGCCCCCCCTTTAGTCCCGGTTATGGGAACCGGAACTGAAAGTGTACCTTTAGTCCCGGTTGCTATTACCAACCGGGACTAAATGGCCCCCAAGACATTGCACCGGGGTGGCACGTTTAGTCCTGGTTGGTGTTTCCAACCGGTACTAAAAAATTCCTTTTTTTCATTTCATTACTTTTTATTTTATGATTTCTTTTCAATTCAATTCTTTTTGGTTTCGATTAGGTTTTCGTATACGAATTTTACGCTGCTAATATACGTCTATATATACATACGTATAAGGTTCTGTTCGAGCATTATACATAAATAACACACTAAAATGTATGAAACTATATATATATACAAATATGCATGCATGAAATATGTACATATATAATAAGGTCACAAATGTACTCATGTCCTTGGGATTTTTTGCAACCCTAATCTTCCTCCGTCGTTTGGCTACTAGGTATGAATTCTTTAGGATCATAGTAGTATGCGCCATTGGGATCTATGACCTGCTCCAAAAGAAATCCTAACAATGCCTCTTGAATTGCTTTGATCTAGTCACATCGCAGGAACTTTCGCTTCCTTCATTCAATCTTCAATTCGAATGAAAGCAAAAGTATGAATATATATATGATTATATATATCAACACAATGGTAACAAATAAATTGTGTATATTTTTTACGTACTTCGAGGATCTCTTCACTTGTTCTCCTTGAGTACTCAATGAGGAACTCGCAGACGTAGTATCCACATAAGTTGTTTTTCGATCCCTGCGACAAACACCACTTTACAAGAAAAAGATTCATCATCAACCAATGAAGCATGATAATAATTAATTAAACTAAATAAAGATGCGGTGACCTAGATAGTACTTACTAGGTATTGGACTATATGCAGATGCACTTCCCAATTACCATAATGGTGTTTCTCGGCGAACGTTTTTAAAGCACAGCTCAACAAAATAAATAAATAGAGTTATATCATTAAAATGGCATAAGAGAGTATACAGTGTGTGCGAGACTGAAATTACCACTGGAGTATATCGAGGATTTCCTGGTAATCTGCTCAGGGTTTTGTCGCTGAGTCAAAGATTTTTACACGACTCCTGGTCATATCGATGACCAGCAGTATCATGTGAAAGCTACATGTTTATACGCAGGCATAACTCATTAACTAAAGTCAACATGGAGTAGGCAAAATAAAATGGGCACAAGACATTCACACTCACTTGAAGCCGTATGGGAAGAGTATCAGTGTCTTGTTAGTGTTCTTATCTAAGAACCTGAACAGAAGCTTCTCCACTTGAGGTCGCCATTTATCATATGGAGTAACCCTGTCCTTGAATACGTGATTCAGATCAATGAAACCAACCTCAGTCATCGCTTTTTTCTTTAGTTTCAGCATCTCATATCTGCATATATATAGTACAATATATATAGTGTGAGGATAACTATATATAAACAACGAAATAACGTGCAAGTTACTTCAATTAAATTGTAGAAAGAATCACTTACAGACACCAGCAGCTGACAAGAGATTTGTCGAGGGTGTCCTGGTGTAATAGTTGGTGTAATTCATTGAACTCAATATGTACAACGTCATAACCTAAGTAATGCTCTGGTCTCACTTTGGCAACAAGCCATAATGCTTCGTCATTCTCGATCACTTTTAAGTACCACTTGTTCAACAAGAACATCTACGTACCCAGTGATGAGTAGTACTTAGGGTTCACAAGACTCTGGCCATACACATAGGTCCGGTAAATATCATAGTCGCCTGTTGGTATCGATGCTCCCCCCATGAGTTGTTTAGCTGTGAGACCTGTGGTGGCCATGAAGTCTTCCAGTGCCTCCTTATTTATTGGACCGCCTTGTGTGTTTGTGAAATCACCCTCAACAACTAGCGGATGGATAGATTGCTTATATTGCTGCACGAGTTGTGCAACATCTTTCCCTGCTATCTTCGCTTTCAGCGATGCCTTATATGACTTATCGAGAGAGCGTTCATAGTCCGATAATGGCGAGGGCTTATGTGCATCACACTGCTTTTTCTTGCGCTCATAGATTTTTTCCTTAGTTCTCGTTGAGCTATGTAGTGCGGATTTGGCGGGTTTTTCTCAAGTTCCAACTTCCTTGCTCTCGATTCTGCTAAACCTTGCTTCCAATTAACCAAATCTTTTTGTGCCGCCGCATTTGATTCCTCTTCAGACTGCTCGTATCATCAAAGGCACCGTATTCAGTAAAACCACGAATAATCATGTTGTCATCATCCCCTTCTTCTTCCATTATAACACCTCTTTCTCCGTGTTTAGTCCAACAAATATAGTTTAACATGAAACCCGACGTACACAGGTGTTCATGAATTTTCCTTGAGCAAGAATAATTCTTCTCATTCTTACATAAAACACATGGGCAGGACTTGAAACCATTCCGTGTGTTTACCTTGGCCACATTTAAGAAATCATGCACGCTCCTCATGAACTCTGGGGAGCGGCGGTCAGCGTTGTACATCCATTGTCGGTTCATCTGCGTTACGTACATGATGTACACCATATCAAAAACTTATAATAACCCATATTATACAACATGCATGGTTAGTAGTTAATTAAAAGATCCAAAATATCCATCAATCAATATGATTAATTAATATCCTATACCACACAGCTGTTTCACGTACTCTCGAACATTAATTTATTAAAGCCTTGATACAATGTAGATAATCCCAAATAGCATTAAACAAACTAAACCTACAATGCACTTCAGCAGAATAAGGATTTCGCGACCAATTCCAACTAAAACAGACAGATCATTCTTCTGTTGGTTCAATGCCTCATCATACACAGGTGCACTCTCATCAGCCACCTTAGTCTCTTTTGCAAGAGATTTTTGGACGTGCTCAACATACTATTCTTTCCAGTACCAACCGTCACATGATCCAGTGCCATCCCACTGAAATTACAATAACAAATCAAGAACTTTAATTAAAATCATCACGAAAAATGGCTACAAACCATAGCAAAACATGACAAAAAAATTGTTCACTTCGCGATTCGGACACATGTAGAAGATGCGCCCTTGGTTGGGACCTTTCTTCTTCACCCTGTATTCCGTCACAATCTTCTGCCCACACTTGCCGCATGCAATGAGAGGGAGGTCCGGCCTCAGCTGCTTAGGGTCCCATGTGAGGCCGAGGACCCGGAAGCAGTCGCCATCTACGACTATCTATACTCATTTTCATCAACTACTATAAGTTTCTCGTTTTGTGAACCATGGAATTAAATGAGCTATATACTAAAAAAACCTTTTATTTCTCAATTTACTAAACCATGCATGAAATGAGGCAATGAAATGTGCATACTAGTTTTGATGAGCTACTATAAGATTCCTTCATCTACATATGCAAACTATCAAGCGATTTTGAGCTCAAATGCCATATAAATGAAAAATATCCACCATTATTCCTAATCTAGAAAACCAAAAATTTCTCTATTTCTAGACCATGAAATGAGACAATGAAAGGTGAATACTAGTTTTGATGAACTACTATAAGATTCCTTTATCTTCATATTCAAACTATCAAGTGATTTCGAACTCAAATGGTATATAAATAAAAAAGAATCCACCATCATTCCCAATCTAAAAAACCACAAATTTCTTTATTTCTAGACCAAGAAATGAGCCATGCTAGTGATGAAACATGGGAGTATGAAGTTGGTAACCTTTAGAACCGATGAATGGATGGAGGAATGAAGTCTTCACCAACCCCGCAAGCATGAACTCCTTACACAAGCAAGAACAGAGAGTAGGCAGAGAGCTTGAAATGGCTCGGGCTGGGGGAGGAAGAAGGAGAAAGTATATAGCCTGGGACATGTAGTCCCGGTTTGTGGTATAAACCCGGACTACATGTAGCGTTCTACTCCCGGTTGGAGCCACCAACCGGGATTAAAGGTTTAGTCATGGCTGGTAGCTCCAACCGGGACTGGAGGATGACCTTTAGTCCCGGTTTGAACCACGAACCGGGACTAAAGGCCCCCTCCTGCAAAAGCTGCACCTCTAGCTGTTGGGCAGGGGGATTTTAGTCCCGGTTGGTTGCTCCAACCGGGATTAATCCTGTCTTTAGTCCCAGGCCCAAAAATGGCTAGGACTAAAGCCTAGAACCGAAAGTTTGTTCTCTACTAGTGTTCCCCACCTCTCAACCTCTTTCTCATTCGGCTCCCATTACCATGGGCAACGGCGATCTCTTGCCGGTCACCCACCGTGGCTCCACCGCTATTGCTACTCACCACTCTCCTCTTCTTCTCAAAAACATTCTTATTTCTCCATCTCTAGTCAAGAACCTTGTTTCAGTTCGTTCCCTCACACGTGACAATAATGTGACTGTTGAATTTGATTGTTTTGGTTTTTCCATCAAGGACATCCCGACCCAAGCGGTACGTTGCCCACGCTCCTCCCATGCGCGCACAACGCCGGTTCCTGTAACCTGTATATGTATACTCCAGAGAGCAACACGATAACTTGTTGGCTCAATCTCTCTTCATTCACAAACTTGCGGTGGAGCACCCCCAATTACAAAGTTATTTTGAACATTTTCAAATTCACAATAATGATCTCAATCTATTATTTAGCCATTCAATCAACATAGGAGTACATCTAAAGAAGATTTCAAGCGAATCTCGTATCATAGTATAAAATTGTGCAACATAGAAGTACTCCTTATTCAAAATTTGAGCATTTTAAAATAGTGTAAAAACAGACAAATAAAAAAAAACCCTGTCTATTGGCTGATGGTGCCAGCGGATGGCCCCTTGGTTGTCTGGTCGGCTACGGCCTATGGCTACCTCGAAAAGCGGAATAAAAATACTATTATTTTTTATATACTTGACTAAAGTTGAGTTTCGTTGACTTCTCAAAAAGCGAGAACAATATTCTTTTTTTGGATGGAGTGATTATTATATAAGAAAAAGTGGATCATTCTTCTCTTTTCTCAATCAAATAGAGAACTTTTACAATTTTCTCTTTTCATGTGATTTTATTGTTCTTTTTAATTATTGTGGCACATTGACTCTAGTAACTTCATTTTTTTATTAGGAACAGGAGGAACATATATATTGCATTGGCTGTGCAGTAATTGGCTACTTCCCCTTTGCGAGGATATATGCCAAGGTGGTTAACTTTGGTGAGGAGACTTGTTTCAACAACCTTACAATCTACGACCTACGTCCCAAAATATAGCTACTTCCAGGTTTGTCCTAATTCATATCATTTTAACATGACCAAGTTTTAGAAATGTTAATTAACATCTACACACCACCAACTAAGTATGTAAATAATTGTTCTTCTTTTATGTCTTTAGAAAGATTTAGTAGAGTGGAATGCAGAGGTACTTGTCCAAATATAAAATAGAGAGAATTCCTTATTTGACACTGGAAAAATGAGTCGTTCCTTTTTTGACCCTAAAATTTTCTTCGTTCCCTATTTGACACTCACTTTAACTTTCATCCCTAATTTGACACTAACGTCAACTCCGTTAGCTAACGGTGTTAACTGGCTGTTAAAAAGACGTTTTTGCCTCTAGAAAAAAAGCGGCGAAGCAAATTTGAGAGGAAAAAAAATCTGCGCCCGCCTATGATGCATGCGCCCAGCTGCAAAAAAAGGCGTAGGTTTTTTTTTCCTCTCAAATTTGCTTCACCGCTTTTTTTTGTAGGGACAAAAACGTCTTTTTAACAGCCAGTTAACACCGTTAGCTAACGGATTTGACGGTAGTGTCAAATTAGGGATGAAAGTTGAAGTGAGTGTCAAATAGGGAACGAAGAAAATTTCAGGGCCAAGAAAGAAACGACTCATTTTCCCAGTGTCAAATAACTCTATAAAATATTGTTGTGCTCACAATTAAACTGATCATAGCTTTGGACAAATACATATTTATACCGCGGGTCTCAACAAAATAAGTAGTGAATGTGTTTCTCTCGTCTCTCATAATCTCATTAGTGAGTGTTTGTTTAGGAATTTTCTTTCTCACGATTTTTATGTTTCCCATACTGTTAGTGTAACTGAACAAACTGTTTTCAACTTATATAGAAAAGAATCAAGCAATACGACTAAATCGTAGCATCATTTCCGTACAATTCTTATGCCTATTATTCGTATTATAGTTGCATATGTTAGATCTTCGTCATTATAATGTAGCCACATCAAATGTCGTGTAGATGTTTCGTATATATGTTTATGAGATATTTTGCTAGAATATTATTTACTCTGTTTCCGTCGACATTCGCTGAATTATTGCTTCTGTTTTCTAAAACATGCATGAAGCTTGTGGCGTCAATATAATGGAGCTAAAGAGCAACAGTGAAAATTTATGTGACAGCTTGACATTACATACGGTATCTGTCATGATAACGGTTAGCTTGTTCAGAGGACCGGAGGGGGAGGACGTGTTTGTTGGATTTTCATTTATGCTTGGCTTCTTTGTTCGGAAGTATTTGTGGATGCTGCGTTCCGAGAGGTCCCGATTCATCGGTCTGGATATTTACACGAACACGGTTGCTGTAGTGGTCACTGCATATGCACTGTTACTCGCAAACAGTTTGCAGTACATCATCCTTGTTCCCTTCCCAATCAGTGTGGCTGCCTTCATCACTTATCTGTACAAGGAAAGATTGGAGCACCATGGCACTACTGGAGCTGAGGATAGTAGTAAGGATAGAAAGAAACCTCACAAACCTGGGGGAGCACCAACTCACCTGAGTACTAGATCAAAGGACGACGACGATGGCTTGTTGGAGAAAGATGGCAAGAAAACCGGGGAACTTGAAATGGTGATAATACCATATTTTATGCTACTAATCAGTGCAATAGTAATCCCATACAAAGACAGCCCTGTTCTGTCTCACTTCCTGCTCTTCTCATGTTGCGCGCTAGGGACACTGGCACTGCTCTATTCCAGACTGGCTGAAGCAAGTCCGGCCTTGAAACCGGCACTGGAATGTATCCAGATGGCCTACATGGTGATGCTGTTCATAACAGTGCACACGGTGGCTGCAGAATGGCTGGGAGAGATCACGGCATTGGTCACCATGCCTGAGCTGATTGCAGGGCTTGTATGGTTCTATACTACTCTTCTCCACGGCGACACTTCTAATAGTAGAGTCAGATCAGATAAAGATAGTAGAGTTGGTTCCAGTAGTAGTTCGGATGCAACTCAAATCCCAAGTTCGGAAACAAAACAGGTTTCTGCTAGTATCTTTGTTAAAGGCTTCATCTTCGATGGATCCATGTTCATTCCCCTCGGAGCTGTTTTGGCAGGCTTAATAACATCCACTTTCGCATATGACGGGGAACTCCTGGCCACATGGAACACCATGGCGACTGTCGCCTGTAGCATTGCAGGGTGCTTGCCATATCTCAGCATATGGATGGTATCGAGGTGGCCTGGCCGCATACCTAGCTCAGATAAGGCGATTCGGCTGCTAAAGTTTGCTGCAAATATGTGCTTGACTGGAGCTTGTCTGATGCTGTTTGCCTTGCTTGCTGAGAAGACACTGGCTTATCGTTTGTTTGGTTTGGATGAGATTATTGATCCTAGTCTACTCAAACATCTTCCGGCTGTTTACTTCAGTACAGCGGTAGCCCTGTGTTTCTTTGGGAAGCATCTTGCTCGTGCATTGGCAGATCTAGGGGAGGGGCTAAGGGGACTCCAGTCCTCCCCTGCTGCTCGTGCTTCAATGGAGACGAAGGGCAGGAGGAGGAGGAGGAAGAAGAAAATATAGATGAGAAGAAGATGGGGACGTCGACAATGAAGAGCTAGAGATGACCTTCGTTCTAACATGAGTCCGCCTCTGCTTTACCTGTTGTTCGTTTTGCTGCTGAGTGTAAAGCACTCCGACCAAGCGACCTTGCAAAAAAAAGTAAAATGGGACAAACAAGATTTGTAATCCCCATCCAATTGTATGTTTATTTGTCTGCAAAGTGAAGCTGTGTACTTTGTTTGTCATGTATAAATTGTACCATATGTTATTATAGGTGTAATGAGAATAATCATCAACAATGACAAAATTGCATCTGTTACCAGGTTGGAGATTTCAGGCCAATATCTCTACTGAGCTGCTCTATCAAGCTGATCACAAAGCTCCTAGCAAACAGGTTACAAGCTGTAATTCTTCAGCTATAGTGCATCAAAATCAATATGGTTTCATTAGATCAAGAACCATCCAAGATTGTCTTGCTTGGTCTTTTGAATACCTTCATCCGTGTCATCACTCAAAAAAGGAAATTGTGGTTCTAAAATTAGATTTTGAAAAGGCCTTCGATAGAATAGAGCATAAGATAATTTTGGATGTCTTGGCACATAAGGGCTTTGGTATGAAATGGATTTCCTGGATTGAAGCAATTCTTAAGTCTGGTACTTCTGTTGTGTTGTTAAATGGAGTATCTGGCAAAACCTTTCACTGCAAAAGAGGTGTGAGGCAAGGGGACCGTCTCTCCCCTCTGCTCTTTGTTTTGGCTGCTGATTTGCTACAATCCATCTTAAATAAAGCAGCACAGCTTGGTCTTCTTAAGTTGCCAATTCTTGCTCCAAGTCTAGATTTTCCCATCATTCAATATGTAGATGACACACTAATTGTGCTTGAAGCCTCAGCAACCCAGCTCTTTTTCCTTAAAGGTGTTCTCCAATCTTTCAGTGACTCAACAGGGCAGAAAATTAATTTCTCCAAATCAACGATGGTCCCTGTCAACCTGAGCAATGATAAGCTAAGTCATTTAGCTAGAACCTTTGGCTGCCAACCGGTTCTTTCCCATTTACCTACTTGGGGCTCCCTATTGTGACAGAACCACCCTAATTATATGGCCCACGTGCATCTATCATTCTCTTTAAGACCTCTGACTGCTGTACACGAGAGCTAGATAACTCAGGTAGTCTGTCAATGTCCTCGGGGAACCCCCAATCATCAACATTTTATAACTCATATAGGATCAACAATGGAGTTGCCACAACATTACAACATTTAGGACAAAAATAGTATACACCGGAGTGTGGAAGACTTATAACATTAGTTTACAAAACATGTTTAAGTATAACTTAACTTTAGATCCAAAGGGTGAATAGGACAGCAGAAGCAAATTAGAAGAAGCACCTAAGGTAGAAGAGACATCCAGATCATGTTGACCCACCGACATGACCTTGATTAGCAGCACAAGCAAAACCTGCAACAGGGGTTAACAAACCCTGAGTACTTGATGGTACTCAACAAGACTTACCCGACTAAAAGAAAAGACTCCAAGGGTATGAAAGCTTAAAGGAAGGTCTGAAGCAAGAGTAACTTTTGCAAAAAGCTTACTACGAGTGAATCCTTACTTTCAATGTTTTAACGGTGTATTAAGTCCATATCAATATCTAGTTTGCACCTAATCTAAATCAATCACTTCTTTAAACATCTCAACCTATTTCTTCTCATATCCATAAGTCACCATGTTTCATTGATTAACTACGATGATGGTGTGAGAATCAATTCTTCTGTTACCATAGAGCAAACCCAGCCGGGGATTTGTCGACCCCTCAATTTGAGAGTCCTCCGTGCTTCCGTATTTGCGCCAAGATCACGCATAAATATGCACTAATCACATGGATAGTACACAGATATATTATAAAATGTTTCGAGATTTATTGATATCTAAAATAAGGTCTACAATAGTGGCCCAAAGGGCATTGTCATAGGCTAGAGAGTTGGCGGAAAGCTACGGCCGTGAAACAACATTATTGGTGGTCTCTAAAGCGGGATTATTATACAGTGAAACGACATCCTATTCCACAGGCAACTAGAGTGCGGATGAAACCCTAGCCTCGATGTCACATTCCTACGATCGAATCTCCTAACGGGAATCCTATTCCTCGCGGTACGCTTCATCTTCGAAGTCATAGTCTTCTTCTGGGTCGAGGTATGTGAGTTGATAACGGGTGAGTACATACGTACTCGGCAAGTCCCAACCATGGGTGGTAATAGAAGTGTAGTGGTGATTATAATTTAAGGGTGGGTCCTAGCGGAGTATTACCATTCCCACTAGTGCTCGGGTTAATCATCAATTAATTACTAGTTTCATTGCACATAAAAGTAAAGCTAATCATAGTATCCCATCATAGAATTTGCCCAATCCAAGGACGTGGCTATTCGAATAGATTTAATAAAACTCTGCAGAGGTGTATAAATTTCCCCACACGATAGGTGCAACCTCATCCATGATCAGTGGACAGAATAGACCTAACGAGATCCTGTACCTGCTTGGAAACTAACCTAGATTTCTATATAATCTCTACCATGGTTTCACAGGGGTTGGAACACAAAACCAGGAAGATATCAAATCCCCCAAACGTGATGATACCAAATCATCACAAAAGAAAAACATGGCTCGAACATGGCCAAGAAAATAGTGGCTCGAACGTGGCCTAAAAACTTAACGCTTAACATGGAAGATCATATAGCATCCACGCCAACCAGACACGGAAGAAAACCTATCCCCCGTGCCGGCTCCTGATCTTCCGTTGCCTACACCTGCCTCCTAGTAGAAACTATACTTCTATCTAACGGGGTGTGGGATCAAGCCTACCCATATAGACATGTGGCTGTATGAAAAGACTCACTAGGCGAGAGGGACTACGAACTGGTCCTTATGTGACCGAGGCAAGTATCTCCCACAGGAACCCTATCCAGGCATTCCTGCCATGATAAACTACGTCCATAGTCTACCACCACTCGCCCCATGTCGGGGTTTAGTTCAGGTTTAGCAAATTTTAAGTTCAATTATTATCCCTAATTCTAATCATGATGTGGAGCTCATAGAATAACAAGATAACCATTTATCTTAACTATATCGCATCAACCGAGCTCATTTTCTAGGGTGATAGTCTTATAGTCAAGTTTTAGCATTTTAGGGTTTTAAAGCAAGATGGTAGGGAGGGGAGCTAGGACTTGCCTTCATTGTTGTCACCTTCTGGCACGTCTACGTAACGGGTCTTCATCCTCCTGACAATTATTGTCGTCTATCGGACGTATCGGTCGTATAAGACTACCGCTATCCACAAAAGAAAAAGGACCCAAGCAAACATAGAACTATATGGTGCCACTAAGTGCATATGATAGGGTTTGATTTTAGATGATTTTTAGAAGTGGTTTAATGCAAATCGGAGTTATGGTTTAAAAGTCATGAATTTTAGAAGTTTATCCTATAGCTGATTAATCTAGGTGGAATTTTATATGTTTTTATAGTGCATAAAAATGGGTGCAAACTACATAATTAATTTCCTTATTTCATCTAGTTTATTTACAAATTTTCTAGGAATTTTTCTAAGCTTGGAAAATGTATTTATAAAACTCTGTGTACACTAGCCGGGTGTACCTAGCGTTTTCTTAAGCGTACCCCGCGTTGTGTGTGTGTTGTGTGTGTGTGTGTGATAGGTGGGTCCCGTGCTGGCATCAGCAACAATGGTGGCATCGGCGTTAAGGCCGTGGGCCTGTGTGTCAGTGAGAGAAGGAGGGAGAGGGAGAAGACGGACGGGGACGGAGGGGGATGGTGACGTCGTTCCCTTCCGGTTCCACCTGGCGGGGACAGAGAAGAGGGGGAGAGGGGGACAACGACGGTCGGCGGTGACCGTGCCAGCGATGAAACAGGGGAGGGGGAGCAGGGCTCGCCAGAGCGACTTATGCCAGCGGCGTTGGCCCTCGGGGGAGGTGGTTGAGGGGTGGACATGGTCTGCTAGGGCAAGCCACAGCCGATGGCGGGGTTGCCGTCGGCAGCGGGCTCCTGTGGCGGCGGTGGTGGCTCGCCAGGGCGGTTGCGGCGGTGCCGTGCTCTAAACTCGGTCCTAGTGTCCCAATGCTAACTATCTATCTACGTGTATGTGAAAAGGGACGAGAGGGGGAGTGGAGTGGGGGTGACGGGGTGCTTTGGGGTGGCTTCGCTGACGATGGCCGACGGCCATGGCGGCTCGGTGGAGTGAGCTCACGCGAGCAGTGCTACATAGAGGCCTACACTACCTAATACCTAATACAAAAGAAAAGGGGAGAGCTCAGGGACTCACCGGTCACTCCAATCAGCCAGAGACGTAGCGGAGAGGAAGGAAGGAGCAGGCGGTGCAAATGGTGCCGGTGAACTCCCAAAAGGGGAAAATGAGAAAGGAGGGGAAGGAGGAGGGAAAAGGGGAAGAATAGGGGGAGATGGGGTGTTCCCGTCCACGGCGAAGCTAATGGTGGAGAGGGCGAGGCGAGAGCATCGCCGGCCGGGCCTATTTATAGGCCGGCTAGGCCGGTGCCCCAGCAGCGAGATATTTCGCGCGGCCATCCTTATCCATCACGTGGCCACGTCGTTGACCTTGTCTGGTCACATCGCCCTGGCTAGCGCTTGCCCGTGCGCACGCCAAAGTTGCCTTGGCAGCTACTCCGGTGGCTCTGCACGGCGGCGACCATGGCGCTGTCGTTGACGCGTTCACAGTGCGGGGGAAGAGGGAGGAGAGGAGAAGAGAGGGGCGCCATGGGGTCCCGATGTCGCCGTGACTCCACTGACCTTCGCAGGCACCGGGGTGGCGCTAGCGAGCATTGACGACGCGGCGGGGCTGCGTACGGCTTGTCGGCTAGGGGTGGACGACGAAGCTGACAGGCGGGCCCGGGGAGTCTGTGGGAGAGAAGGGGAGGCTTGCTGGACTGGCTCGCGCGCGGGAGAGAGGAGGGGGAAGAGGAAGGGCTGGGCTGCAGTTGCGGGCCGAATAGGAGGGAGGGGA